CAGTAATCTCATTAAAGCCCTAATTTATAGTAGTATATTACTGTAACTACCGGTACATTTACAGAAATAAGTAGAATAATCACATACTAAAGTACTTTGAAATAACTTATTTTCACTGGAATTAATTTTCATTGATTTTTGGTAAGTTGAATGTAAAATATAAGAAAAAAAGTATATTAGCTGGATTTTATTTTCACTGAATCACTCCTTCAGCGAAAATAGCGTAAATTAATTCCAAGCGAAAATAAAGTATTTTACAATACCCCAGTAGTCTTAAATTCTTGTTTTCTCAGAACTGGTGGCAGACCCCGAAGAGCTGCCCAGGAACTGTATATGCCAAGAGCAATGAGACAAAGGCAGCAAGAACAACAACAACAACAACAACAGTCACTTAATCAACATACAAAAGCTGAGTCAACAATAAATGAAACAAAGAGAGATAGACAACAATCTGTATCTGCTGATGGGCAAAGCCAAGCTAGATTATCCAAAGGTAGCCATAAAGAAAGAACAAAACGATCTCAGGGATACGATGAGCGAAATCCGCGGATTCAAAAGCATGATGGCAAAAAACATTTGAGTACAAGCAAAAATGAAAGGTCTGAGAAGCATCGAAATGTAGACAGAGTTTCAATGTCTCAAGAAAATGACAAGTCAGAAACAAGGCATGTTGAAGAGAGATCTTCTAGTGCAAGGACAAATGAAAAAACAGAGAGAAGGAATAGGAAAAAGCCTAATAACTTAGAAAGTCAGAATCCCACAGTTTCTAAAAAAGAATCCTTGGTATACCAGAATGAGATAAAGGGATCAGTGGCCAGTCTGAGTGATTGCTTTAGTACAAGACATGATCTTGAATTTGTTGAGGATAGAAATACAGATACAAGTTTTAACACTAGCATTGATGCAAACAATGATTATGCTTCTAGACAAACACCAAGTCAGTCAAAGGAAATAAATATTACAGGAGATGATATAATTGATGCCCATTCCACTAATAAAAATTGTTTAGGAAATACAGAACAAATTTCTGATTTGATGATAGAACCTCAGGGATCAGTGTTAGAACATTCAGATGAGAACACCGCAATCACAGATGAGGTTATAGTTGATACAGTTCGTCCAATTGTACAGAATGTTGGTTTAGTTAAAACAGATAATGTACAAAGCAATACAAGTATCCACTGCCATGAGGAAAAGGATCCTGTGATTCATAAAGAACACTGTGTTGGTATGGGTAAGATTGATGTTGAAATGATTGCTGGAGTTTCCTCAAAAATGGAACTGATTACAAGTAAAACTTATGAATGCGAGCTAAAGGACAAAACTACAGCGACTGAAAAGCAAATAGTAGAAACTGTCAACAAGAATGTTTCAGTTATTCATCAAAAGGAAGAATCAATGAGCAAAGAACCAGTAGATGATTTACATGTAGTGTATAATCCATCCATAACTGTAGATACAACAGATAAAATTGAACCATGTGCTGATAATATCAAATTAAATATCTCAGAAGCCAGTTGCAAATCTATGGACACCCACCCTGTAAACAATGAAATAACCAATTTGGAAGAAGCTGATGCAGCGGTTACTATGGAAACGAATTTGGATACTGCTGACTCATTTGGTGCTGATTTAAAAATGCAGTTACTTGCTCCTAAAGAAGAAGATTCTGCTATGTCACCAGGAGATAGTGAGGATGTAAACCATGTTACCAAAAATATTTGTGATCTTGATAAATCTAAAGACGTTAAGCTCATGGACGTTGGAGAATCGCAAATTGGCCAGGAGGCTAAAGATGTGGTTACCATGGAAACTACAGTAGATGAGGATGAAGACTCGTGGGATACTATGTTTGATGAGACAGGGGAGTGTTTAAATCAAGAACTAAAGAAGGAGATAGAAGTCAATGTAAGTGCAGTTTTGTTGTTTATGTTTGGATGAGCTTGCAGATTTGTAATCTGTATAGAGCTGACTTTATTTGCTGGGTTTTATTTTCACTTATTTTGCTAACAGCTAAATGCACTAAAGCAAAATCTTGTTCATATTCAAATTTAACATTTCATTCACGAACTAGTGAATTTAAAAATAAAGTGATCCCTTGTTAAGTCGCGCCTCAGTAAAACACGATTTTGGCTAAGTTGTGGGTAGTTGGATGGCTCCCAAAAATTCTATTTTGTTTTGCCTGAAGTAAAACACCTAATGTCACTTTCTGTTCGTCATTTACTGAGATACAAAAGGTGACGACGGCCTGTGAATAAAGGTATCAGTGGGTGTCAAGTATAGATATAGCTCTATAAAACATCCTACAATGAGATTGATCACTCTGATCTCTAGTTCTCAACTGAGCAGCATGTCTAAGCGAAAGCTATCCAGTCTGTCCATATGTGAAAAACAGCAATCGAGAAAATTTGTTTTTGAAGTTGACGAAGAGGCGGTAAAGCTATTTACATATGGTTTCTTCAACAATGGTCTGCGGGAACTAAACTCTCAAGCATGCATCCTCACCAAGCAACTTGAGGACTTTTAATTTGAGGCCAGTTTGGGGGTCACTCTATGAATATTCTTGGAACATTAAATCAACTGAAATTCAACATTGTAAAATATTTCTTTTTTTGTAGTGTACAAAATGTATCTACTAAGACACTAAATTACTACGCTGTATGGCGTAGATTGGCATGAAACAATATCATGCTCCCTGCACATAATAAAGTTATTAAGTATGCAGCTAGGCAATCAAGTGGCATGGGCGAACATCTGTTTGAGTCGCACACACCTTGCAGTTGATTTGAAGTAGTATCTATCATGCTGTTTATTTGGTGTTACCGGTATTTACTTGCCAGATAATGCAAGTATGACAATGATGATAAGACTTCTATTTGATTAAACATGTCAAGTTGAACATCAATAATTATTCATCAAGTCAGGGAATGAGATATGATAGTCATTAACACTGTTTACAATAACAATTTATATTGCAATTACAGCTTTCAAAAAAAGTTACAAAAAAGAAAAAGGTTGTTGTGCAAGAACCCAAGTTTGATTATTATAATTACCAACCAAAAGATAATTTTAATTATGAAGGTAAGAAAAGTACTAATCACTACTTGATCCATTTTCTTATAGACACCTTATTTTTCTGCATAATAAATAATTTTGTGTCTGAAATTATAATGTTATATCTTTAATCTAGTCACAAACTTTGTAAATTAACCATGTTTCTCTCTTTTTTAATCACAGATTTTGGTCATGTGATAGAATTGTTTGATTTTCCAACAGAATTCAAAACTCAGGATCTTTTAATGTCATTTTCTCAATTTCAGTAAGTATCATTATTAGTCCCCGTTCGGACGTAGTCCGAAAACGGGGACTTATGGTTTGCCCTGTGTGCGTCCGTGCGTCCGTGCGTCCGTGCGTCCGTGCATCCGTGCGTCCGTGATCACCTGTATCTCGAACATGCATGGACCGATTAAGTTCAAACTTCACTCATACATCACACATTATATGGGACATATGCACATGCATTTTTTTCATGATCCGATTAACGATAGCCGAATAGCGGCCATTTTAAGGCCGAAAATGCATCAAAATCGCACATTTTCACCATTCCGGACCCGGATCTCAGTTATGCATGGACAGATTTTATTTAAATTTGGTACATACATTAAACATAATAGGACCTTGATGCACGTCTTTTTTTTTTTGGATCGGGTTCGAAATAGCCGACTGGCGGCCATTTTGTTTTAAAGAATTCAGTTCTGGATCTGTATCTGAGACATGCTTGGAT